GGGGTCCCCCACCCAGTCTGAGGGTGCTCTTCCCGGGCCTGCCTTCCTGAGGAGGGTTTTCTGGGTCCCACCTGATCCCTGGTGGCACAGGACTTCTCAGCTGCCTCTGGGCACATTCCCTAGTAGGCCTGTGACTTCATGCCCTCATGTGACCAGAGTGCCCCTGTAGGCTAGCAGAGCTTTCTGTGCCCAGGGAAGAGCCAGCCGCTGTCTCAGAAACACACTTCTTGGGGCTGGAGCGATAGCACAGCGGGTAGGGTGTCTGCTTTGCACGTGGCTGACCCGGGTTCGATTCCCAGCATCCCATATGTTCCCTGAGCACCACCAGGAGTAATTCCTGAGTGCATGAGCCAGGAGTAACCTCTGTGCATCAACAGATGTGATCCCAAAAAGCAAAAAGAAAAAAAAAGAAAAAACAAAGAAATGCACTTCTTTTTTTTTTTTTTGAAATGCACTTCTTAAGTGGGTTCAGCAAGAGGAGTAAGGGTCTCAGTCCAGGGCAGTGAGCTGACCCCCATGCTCTGGTCCCTGCTGCTGTCTCCTGGTCAGGCCATGTGCCAGCAGCATTTTCTGCCCATCCTTCTTGGGGGTGGGGTGTGTCTTCATTTTCAAAAATTTGTTTATGGGGAAGATGGGAAAGAAGGGAACAAAGGTAGCTCGAAGTTAGGATTTCAAGGTCCCAGGACCACCCAAGGACCACCCAAATCCTTCAGTAATCGCCACTGAGTTCCTATCCTGCTCCAGTGCTTAGGATGCAGAAATGGAAGAGAGGCTCTCCCTGACATTAAAAACTAAATATACAAATATATATGTATACATAATTTTTAAATAATCACATAGCAATCCACACAGTAAGGAACAAGGGTGCAGGTCTGGGTCAGGATTAAAAGCAAAGGATTAGGAACCATTCTACAATCCACCACAATCGGTTAAAAATAGAATTGCTTGCAAGTAACAGAAAAATATATAGGTATATAATTAAAATTAATTTCACCTTTTCTGCTCTTTTAATGTTGTTCTTATTCAATTTCAATTGTAGCCATAGCCCACATTACCTAGCTATTGGATTGCACTGCCTTAGGACATGAAAAAAAGTTAAGTCACGGGGTTGGAGAGAAAGTACAGCAGGTAGGGCACTTTGCCTTGCATGTGTCTGACTGTGATGCAATTTCTGGCATCCCATATGGTCTTCCTCCAGCCCACCACTGCCAAGCCAAGCCCCCCTATCCCCAAGCTCTGCCAGGAGAAAGCCCTGAGCACCACCAAGTGTGGAAAGAGCGAGCTAAGCCATATAGCTGAGCAAGGCTTATACCACATGGGGGCGATGCTGCCAAGCTTCACTGGACAGGGCTTTCTCGAGCTTCCAGCTAATTGTCTGTTGCAAGCTGGCTTCAAGTTAATTGGCACAAACTTGATCCACGTAATCAGCTTGTGTATTTCCTAACATTGTTATTGGATAGTTTAAAAGCATTTTCTCTACAATTTAAATGTCCCTTTATGTTGCCACTAAATTAAGTATCCCTAAAGAAGCATGAAGTTTCACTGTCTAGCTAAGGGATGGGGAGGAATTCTTTTTTTTTTCTTTTTGGGTCACACCCAGCAATGCACAGGGGTTCCTCCTGGCTCTGCACTCAGGAATTACCCCTGGCGGTGCTCAGGGGACCATATGGGATGCTGGGAATCGAACCCGGGTTGGCCGCGTGCAAGGCAAACGCCCTACCCGCTGTGCTATTGCTCCAGCCCCGGGGAGGGATTCTTAAATCAAGTTCAGAGGAGCTTTGTGGCAAGAGTTCTGGTCAGGGTGGGTGGAGAGTGCGTGTAAAAGCTGGTGGTGTGAGTGTTGGTGAGCACCGAGACCCAGGAGTGATGAGAGGAGAAAGAAGTACAGAGAGAGGGTAGGAGATTGAGGCAAGAGTCTATAGCCACTCTTAGGTGTGATGAGGTGACTTCAAAGTTAGCAGAGAAGCAGGTGGCTGCTAAAAGCTAGCAGAAAAGCAAGGTGAGACCCTCCAAGGACACAGGGACAGGATGTCCAGAGGAAAATCCAGAGTTTAGACTAAGTAACTATCGAATGTTGCTCTTTTCTGCTGCCAAGCAGAAAAACTGCTAACCATTCAAGGCTGACCTCAAACATCTAGCTTCTGGACAAGGCTTGCTTGCTCAGTGAAAAGAAAGTTGATTGATGTTGCAAGGTGGGATGTGATAAAAATGGAGGGGCTGGAGCGATAGCACAGCAGGTAGGGTGTTTGCCTTGCACGCGGCCAACCTGGGTTCGATTCCCAGCATCCCACGTAGTCCCCCAAGGACCGCCAGGAGTAATTCCTGAGTGCAGAGCCAGGAGTAACCCCTGTGCATTCTGAATGTGACTCCCCCCACCCCCCCAAAAAAAAAGAATGCATAAAAACTCTGTGCCTGGGCTAGGGTTTGGAGCTATTTTTTGCACTGAGACTCTTGCTCACAGACTCAGTAGCTCCTGTAGGTTAATAAAGGCTCTTAACTTTGGAAAACAAGTGTGTTCAAGACTCCTTGGGTAATCTCTACCCCCTGCAACATACATTTGCATCAAAATGCTCCTCATCTGTTCATTGGCACCACCTTTCTAGGGAATGGCTGGTATGTGCTAAAAATAAATGGGGACCCCCCCACCCCACAGCTACCCTAAGGAGAGAGCTGGATCATGAGCCAAAGTCTCTTACAGCCAGACCTATGGGTCAGTTGCTAGAGGCAGCCACACAGCGACCTTCCTGGCACCTGAGGGAAGCCAAGCTTTGCTTGACAAAAAAAAGCCAGTAAGAGGATCAGACACCTACCCGACTGGTCTCCAGGAGAGTTTTCACAAGTCAGAGCATCAATTCAAATCCCCAAGGGTTGGCCTAGGTTTGATTCTCAGCACTGCATAGTCCTTCCAGCGCCATACCAGATCCTACAGATGGGACACCAATGCAAAATAACAACAGAACCAAAAGGCCCTGGTGTGTGCCCTGCTTTGTGCATAACTGCACGGATCTCCTTTAAGTTAAGACAGTTCAGGAGAGGCCCAATAGTACAGCAGATACAATGCTTGCCTGCCACACAATTGACCTGAGTCCAATCCCTGGCACTGCATATAGTCCCCCAAATCCCACCAGGAGTAATCCCTGAGCACAGAGCTAGAAGCCAGCCCTGAGCTCAGCTGGGTGTAGCCCAAGTATCAAAAGATTAAAAAAAAAAGAAAACACTTGGGGATTTAAAAAAAAAAAAGACAGTTCAGGATATCAAGAGATCAAATCCTACAAAGGAAAACTAGAAATCCCTGCCAGAAATATTGCATTTGTGACATAAGTGATTACAGTTCCTGTCTTTTCTGGCACATACACTGCTCTGCAACAAGATATATAATCAGGAGGCAGGCTTTTCCTGCCTATCTTTGTTTAACTTTCACTAAAAACTTTGATGATGGTGGTGGTGGTGGTGATGGTATGTGTGTGTGTGTGTGTGTGTGTGTGTGTGTGTGTGTGTGGCAGAGGGGGTGGAGTATTGGACCACACTTAGCAATGTCCACAAGCTACTCTTGGCTCACAGTGCTCTGGTGGCTGCTCTTGGAAATGCTTGACTGAACAAGGGCTGGAAATTAGATTTGAGGCTCCTGCAGGCAAAATAGTGCTCCGTCCATTGAACTATCTCTCTGACCCTCAGAACCTTCATTCTAGTTGATAGGATATAAAACAATTTTAAAAATGCCTTTATCCTTTGCTCTGATACTTACCAGTCTAGTCACTAATCATAAGGAACATTTTAAGCTGCACAAATATTTAGCTACAAGTATACTCACCTAGAATTTGGAAGAGTCAGACACACACACACACCCCTGTAAGCAAATGGAACTGGTTAAACTTAGGTAAAGCTGTAACATGGATTATTTTTCAATTACACAAAGGATGCAAATGAATACTTATAAAATGGAAATAGACGTTCATGTCCAACACTGTGAAAGAGCCCAGCTACAGATGTAATGATGCATGCCAATGTTGCTTACAAAAGAAAAACACTGAATGGATAAGTGGGCCAGGGATCTGTTTCAGGACAGGCTCAGTGTGGTACCCATGACTTGCAAATGGAGGTTCTAGGCTTGTTCTCAGCACCATGCACAAGTTTTGTTGTTGTTTTTTTTTTTCCAAATAAAACAAGCAAGTAGACATCTGCAAAGACAATCTGCTGGGTCTGTTTTCCCTCCTCTCCCCTGGTCCTCCCAACCCCCACCATGGAATTTAGGTTTCATGTATGCAAGGCTGAGCCACGAAGTGTAGTGAGAACAAAGCACCAAAAAGGCATTCTGCGTGGAATTCGTAGTTCGGACAGAGATTAGAGGTGGCTTCTTTCCTTGTTTTCACAAGTGTGCTTTAACTTGGGGGTGTAGTGGAGCACATCAGGCAATGCTCAGGAGTTACTTCCAGTTTAGTGCTCTGGGGTCTTCGCAGGAGGTCAGAGGAGCCATCTGCAGTGCCGGAGATGGAACCCAGGCCTCCTGCACGCAGAGCACGCGCTCTCACCCCATCTGCGAACTGTCCCTGGTCTTCTTCCAAACGGCTCTGGGGCCCTGCCGTCGGAAGCACCCTCGTCTTCCTTAAAACCCTGACGGCTTCTCGGGGGCTGGGGGCGAACTGTGCTCCACCTGGTCCACAAAGCAAGTCGCTTGTGTATGTCTTATCCCGCGAGTCTGGTCAGTTTCTCTGGCGTCCTGTCTCTCTCCTGCCCCCACCCAGCGCCTGGATCAGTCCGACCCTGCGTGACCCGCCGATTCCGAGTCGGCGGAGTCGGGATCCAAAGGTTCAAAGGAACTAGGGCACTCCGGCGGCGGGCGAGGAATAGCCGCGCCGTCAGGACCTGGAGGCGCGCCAGGGCCGGGTGTCGGCGGGCGTGAGTCCGGAGCGGCCACCCGCATCCTCCTCCTCACCAACAACGCGGACCTAGCAAAAACGCGGAGCCGGCGCCGGGAAGTTTGTCCCTCCAGAGCCGCCGTCCCGGCCCCCGCCCGCTCGGGTCACGTGGCCGCTGAGCGCTCGCGGCCTGTGGGGAGGACGAACGCTCGGTTCGGTGGGGTCTTGGGCTGGAGCGGCCGGCGGCCGGCGGCGGGATGGAGTCGACCTTGGAGCAGCACTTGGAGGACACGTGAGTGGCGCGGCATCTCCGGCCCGGCCGCGGGCGGCGGCGGGAGCGGCGTGGGGACCCGCGCGGCCACTCGGAGCCGCCGTCACCGCCGCTCCGGCCGCGGCGCAGCGGGCTCGCGTGACCCGGAATTAAAACTCCGCGGCGCCCCACCCCCTCCTTCCGGGAGCGTCTGCGCGGCCCGGGCCTGGGTCCCCGACGTCCTTCCAGCCGAACCGGGTCGTGCCGCGGTAGCTTCCGGAAATGGGCCCGTGGGGGCGGGAGGCACCGGCCGTGCGAGGCAGGCCCAGCGCGTGGGCGCGCCTTTGGGTCCCATCCGGTGCCCGCGGGGATGAAGGGCAGGCCGGCTGTTTTCCGCACTTAGAGCCCAAAATGGACGAGGAGTCAAGGACGGTGAAGCACCGTCGCGGCTCCTTGCGTCCCCCCGTAAGCTCCGTGTTTGTGCAGTTTTAATCGATAGGTTCTTTTTATTGGTTGGTTGGAGTTTTGCCCCTCCCCCACCCGGGGCGGGGCTCAGGAGACTTCGACGATCAGACCCCTGCCCTCCGTAGTGCCCAGTGGCCCCTTCGACGGTTGCTTTAAATGAGTTGGCATGCTGCTCGTGCATTCTTAAGGCGGCTACGAAATCTAGATGATGCAGTGTCTGCAGTCCCTCAGAATGCCCCTGCCCCTCCCACCCTGGTTTCTTTCATCAGAAAGGATTTTGGCTGCTTAAGTCACCGATCACCTAGGTGCTCGCCTATAGAGGCAGTAATGCAACAAGGAGAAAAAGGTGGAGATATGCGGAGTTAAAATGCTTAACGTTAAATGCTTTCTAGTTATTACGGTCAGGGCCCTCCCGTTGTTCATCGATTTGCTCGAGTGGGCCCAGTAACGTCTCCATTGGAGACTTTGTTGTTACTGTGTTTGGCATATCGAATACGTCACGGGTGGCTTGCCAGGCTCTGCCGTGCGGGCGAGATACTCTCGGTAGCTTGCCGGGCTCTCCGAGAGGGGCGGAAAGGCAAACGCCCTACCGCTGTGCTATCGCTCCGTGAATTTCACTTCCTCTCATCCTCTGCTTTATCCCTTTTGTTCCCGACTCAGAATGAAGAATCCCTCCATTGTCGGTGTCCTGTGCACAGACTCACAAGGGCTGAACCTGGGCTGTGAGTATCTGCCCTCAACCCCTGCTAGATCGCACCCTTAGTTTTGGGTGTTGGCTGGGAGCCTAGTGCGGTAGTGCTCGTTTTCCTTTTCCACTCCTTTAGGATTTTCTGGATACTTTTGTCAGAGATGAAGAGATGAGATTGTCACCAGATTGTAAGATTGGAAATGGAAAATTTTTGGTTGGCATTTTTGTTTTGTTTTAGGGACCACACCCAGCTGGGCTCAGGGCTTACTCTCGGCTCTCTCTCAGGGTCCTAGTTGCACGTTGGGGACCATATAGGGTGCCCGGGATTGAACTTGGGTCAGCTGCGTGCAGGGCAAGTGCCTTAGCCCCTGTACCCCGGCCCCTCAGTTGAAATTTTTGAAGATAGAAATGTACCTTGCAGCTTCAGCACTGCGTATCTATACTGTGATCATTTTTGATTATGGTGAAGAAAGACTTGAGATGGTGACTCCAGTTACCATTTATTGATTGGCAGTGGGAAGAACCGAGGAAACGAGGCTTGACTGGCTGTTGTCTAGCATTCTCTAGTTACCATTTGCTGTCACTGCTAGATTTATATAGTACATCACCTCATTTTCAGTATGACCCTGTTTATTCTAACTTTTGTCTAACTACATTTAACAGTAAGAGAATAGGTAGTAAAAATAGGAGATTCAGACTTAAACATATCTGGATTCGACCTGTTCTCTCCTTTGCTAGCTAAATAAACTTGGACCAGAAAGAAACTTTCTGGGGACTGGAGAGATAGTACAGAAGTTAAGGAACCTGCCTTGCATGTGGCTGAGGCTGTGACAGCCAGATGAATCCTTATATATGGCCCCTAGAAGCACCGCAAGGTGTAGCCAAAACAAAGAACCATTCTGAGCCCTGAGCCTGTTTCTTTAGAGTTACTATTTGGTAATTAAAATGAAAAAGAATTGCATCTGTTGAGCTCTTATGTATGCCAGGCACCATTGTAAGTCCTCTCAAATATACTGAGTCCTTCAATCAATATATTTAATCAGTAACCTTACCAACCCTGTGAGGTAAAGACATGGAAGCACATGGGTCAGGGAGATGGCACAATAGGCTGGAGCTCATGCTTAGAATGCAGGAGCCCCGGGTCCAGCCTCCAGCAACACATCGTCCCAAGATCAGAGCCAGGAGTAGCTACCAAGCACTGTTGGATGTGGCTCAAAAACCAGGGGTGGGGGTGGGGGGAAATCGAGGCACAGTTACTCAAGAGGTGTTGAGTAACTTGCCTAAAGATACACAGCTGTTAAGGGGTTGAGCTAGGATTTTGGGACTAGCTTTAAAGCTTCTTGCTCAACACTGTTACAGCTACAGATTACATAATATTTGTAAAATACTTAGCACAGAACCCAGACATAATAGTTAATAGATAGTAACAATTACAGGCAAGGAAACAAATCCAGAAAGGTGAATAAAGCATTCAGCGAATTCATCTCAGGACTAGTAAATTAAGAATTCTTAAACTTGTTTTCTTTACCGTAAAAATCTTTATAAAGATCTGGATGGGCAGGTAAAAAGTCATTTGTTAACTGTTATGTTTTACATGTAATCAGCTGGGAGAAGACAGGAAAAAAGTGTTTTGGTGGAGAGGCCTCTTAAGCAGTGCTCATTAGACCTGGGGGACTGGCCATTAGGACACAGATCTGAGGATCGCTGCTTGTTCAGGGGTCTCCAGAGCTGTACCCAGCAATGCTGTACCCAACCAGGAATCACAGGGTTGGCGTGTGCTTGGCATGCGTGCAAAGCTGTACTATCTCCCAGTCCCCAGACAAAAAAATAAAATACGTATGTATATTTTGTATGTATACTTTAATACCTGTATTTTTAAGTCACTTTCCAGGTCCATTAATGGGATAGCTAAAATTCAAGTTTAGAAGTCTAAAGGTAAATTAATTCCAAGAAATATTCAGAGCCCAAAAGGGAAGTTGCATTTTGCCTAGTTACTGTGTGACAGGGAATCAGTCATCTCTGACAGGGCAGCAGGTCACCTGGGTAACTTCAGGCAGGCCAAGAAGACTTGTGCTAGACATACTGAGACTTGAATGGTTTTAGAACTGTTGTCTGGCTTTCTCAGTGATGTGACCTGCTGAGCGTCCAGACAAAATCTTTCATGTCAGCACCCGGTCTACAAGACACTGAGTTAAACCTTTGTGTGAATACTTCAATAAAAGATACTTCTGTGGCTCTCTACTCATTTCTGCACAGCCAGCCAGCATGATGTCATTCCTGTCTTCCAGGCCGTGGGACCCTATCAGACGAACATGCTGGAGTGATCTCTGTTCTAGCTCAGCAGGCAGCTAAACTGACCTCGGACCCCACTGATATTCCCGTGGTGTGTCTGGAATCTGATAATGGGTAAGTTGATGTCAGCACATCCTTCTTTTCATTTTTTTTTTTTTTTGTTTTGTTTTGTTTACTGGGCAGTGCTCCGGCTTACTCGTATCTCTGTGGTCAGGGATCACTCCTGGCAGTGCTCAGGAGACCATATGGGATGCAAGGCAAATGCTGTACCACTGGACGACTGCTCTGGCCCCATTCCTTTCCTTTTTGATGCAGAAAAATTCCAGGGCCAGGAGAAGTGGGAGTCAGAGGCGAAGCTCAATGGGCAGAGCACATGCTTTGCATGCCCGAGCTCTCTGTTCAGTCCTGGCACTGCCAGGAGCAGCCTCCAAGTACCATTGACTTGTTCCAAAAACAAAGACAAAAAACAAACAAACAAAAAAAAAACCATTTTGGGGGGGGGGGGGAGATTTCATTTTTCTGAATAAAATAATCCTCTAGAGTTGAATAAAATAATCTTTAGAGTTAGGTATAAAATCATGACTCCCAAAGAAAGGCTACATGTAATTTGATTTTCACTGTCACTGTCCTCCCATTGTTCATCGGTTTGCTTGAGCGGGCCCAGTAACGTCTCCATTGGAGACTTTGCGCGACAAGAACTTTTTGCATACCTAAAATTAAGTCAGCTCTGGTTGTGAGGGTGCCTTTGGGGTAGGAATGGAGAGGAACCAACCTGGTTTTGGCCCCCAAAAAACAGTCCTCTGGAGAATGTTCCCTGCTGCTCAAGGACACAGTAATAAGCTTGGCTGCTTTTGGGGGGCGGGGGTGCTGGGAAAGGTACTACATCTTCAGTACTCGGGTCAGAGCCTGCTGGTGCTGAGGTACCGGTCGTCCTGCCGGCAGAGCACGCACTCAGCCCTATTAACCTTGACTGAAGCGTTTGTGGGCATGCGCTTTGAGCGGCAGTGAGCAGTGACACTGAGACTGAGGCCAGTCCTGAATTCCCAGTCTCTCCCAGGAGACTACCAAAAGCAGAAGAGTCTTGTGATAAAAGAGTTGTGGGGAAAGCAGGACATAAACCTCGTTACAGTACGATCAGAAAAGAGAGGAGGGCAAAACCGTTGATAGAGTGTGCATGCAGAGAAGTGCTTTTGGTCAGCTGTGAGTGACAAGATTATAGGCTTCATTTCCGTTTTGTATTTTATTATTTTCTGCATTTCCCAAATATTTTTGTTGTCTTTGTACGTTGTTTTAAAGATGGAAAAATGATGAATATTTTAGTTGTGTCCTGAACCAGTGTTTCCCAGCCTTTTTCTGACTGTGGCCTCTCCCGCACCAGTCCTCCTAGTTAACGTGGTTTCGACCTGTGCTGACTTAGAATACCCTGGGGGCCCGAAACCAAACAGCACCTTGACCCTTTCCCACCGGTGACTCCATCCTTATCTGCTTGCCCCTTCCCTTTCAGGAACATCATGATCCAGAAGCACGATGGTATCACTGTGGCCCTGCACAAAATGGCCTCTTGACACCTCCTGCCTGTCTCCAGCCACCTGGCTGAAGAAGGATGGGGACCTCCTTGTGGCAGAGCCGATCGTGTTCTGAGACCACAGAGCCAGTTCAACTTTGTACATAGAATTTTGTTATGTTCAATAAATCTTATTGGAGGAAAGCTTGTGTCCTTTCTGGATTCGTTTGTTCTTTTCATTTCTTTTTTCCGGTGCTGGGAATTTGAACCCAGCACATAAACGGCAAAAGTGCTCTGCCACCGACCTACACCCCTGGCCCTTTTCCAGATTCTTTCAAGTCTTACCAGAGATTCATTTTCTTTCAGCATCCCCATCTCCTACTCTTCTCGCTTTCAGAAACTTCCTGAAATAACACATACTATCTCAAAAGTACCTACAGGTATTTAAAATAACACCCACTCCATCATAATAGCAGCAACTTGTATCAGTATGTACTAGGCAGGTACTAAGAACTCATATTCTCACTAACAACCCAGCATGATAGTTCCTTGTGCACTTTACCTGTGTGTGTACACAGGAGTGACTCTTGTCTTTTAAGCATTGTTTCAGCCCACGACCAATGGTGACTCTCTTCTAGGAATAGAGCCAGCATGTACCATAATCATTAACTGTGACAGAACAAACAAGCACATAGCGTGTCTCTGGGGATACTGGCATCCGTATTTTTATGTGAACCTGTATTTTGTTTTTTGGGCCCACACTTAGGGGTGTTCAGGACTTACTCCTCAGGGTTTAAACTCAGGGCTGGCACTAAACTCAGGGATCACTCTTGAGAGGGCTCAAGGACCACATGTGGTGTCAGGGATCCAATCTGAGCCAGCAGCATACAAGGCAAGCACTTGCTGTACTCTCTGCAGCCCCCACAAACATATCACTGGATAGTAAAATGAAACATTCTGGGCTCAGGAAGATAGCTCAAAAGGCTGGAGCATAGGCCTTACCTGCTGGGGGCCCAGATTTCCTCACAGACACCATGTGTTCTCCTGAGCACCATCCAGTGAGTGCCACAACCAAATGCAAGACTCCTGACAAGCTCCACCATCGCTGTATACAAATGCCACAAAGTATCAGCCTTCCAAGTGTGTGCCCCTGGTCACTGCAACAAGGGGAAGGGATTGGGGAAATACTTTTGGAGGGAGGGGACACATCTAGCAGTGCTCAATGGTTAGGATGTACGTGTTACTTTGGTCTGTGAGGTGGGAGGTAAGATGTTGGCAGGTACAAAACTACCCTCAGGTACACGTCTAACTGCTTTTTAGGAATTCTAGCCTGGAGCTGGTCCCTGAGCACTGCCAGAACTTAACTGCTGGGAGTGCAGAGCCTGGAGTGATCCCTGAGCATTGCTGGGTGTGGCCCCCAAACACAGGAGAATCCCAGGCCATATTCAGTTTGTAGAATGGGGTTTGTGGGGCTGGATAAAGCTTAGTGGGTTAAGTGGATGCTTTCTTGCTGGAGGCCCAGGTCCACCCCAAGCCACTCATGGTCCCTGGAGTACCACTGAGAGCTACCCCTGAGCACTGCTCAGTGTGGCTCGAAAACAAGAGAGAACATAGATGGCAACAAGAGAGAGTCCAAGTTAGTTTTGGGGGGGGGTTGGGGGGTCTGGGGTTTGAGTTCACACCCAGCAGTGCTGGGGGACCATGGGTGCCAGAAGTCAAATCTGGGTCCAGCCTCCTACGCCATGTCTTCAGCCCCTTTGATTTCACTCCTACACAGTCCAGTGCTTTTCACTGTGTCCATTTGGGGCTCGTTTTTTCAAGGAGAAAAGCTTCCTGTTGCTCTGTTATGGATTAGGGGGGTCATACCAGTAACCCAGTGGTGCTCAGGGGTCACTCCTGGCTGATCAAACCAGAGTCAGCTGCAAGAGAGGAGTCCTCACTCCCATGCTCTTTCCAGCCCTCTTGCTTTTTGATCAACTTCCCACAGTCAGCCTAGAGTAATCAGAACCAACGCTGAGTAAGGTTTGGGTGGTTTTCTTGGGCCACACTGGACAGTACTTAGGGGCATCCCGTGCTGAGGTGCTCATGCATCATTCCTGGCAGTCCTTGGGAAGATCATTAATCTTACAGGGGACCTTTTCATCTTAAGAGGCATTGGCCCCATTTTACAAAGGAAGAAACAGGCTCGGCAAGATGATTAGCTCAAAAGGAGAAAGGGGCAGAAAGGGAGCAGGAGAAAATGCAGCATCAGGGAACTGAGTTGTGCAGCTGGACAGAAATGGTACCTATGAGGGCATCACAGTTGAACTGGTCTGACATCCTGGTGGTTCTCTCAGTAACACACACACCCTGGGTGCTTGCTATGTACTGGGGAGGTGCCAAACCTCATTCCCTGGTGCAGTTAGAGCAAACACTGGGATTCACCAAGGGCTCCCCAGCTCCTATTTTCCCACATGCCACACAGCTCTTGCCCCTGTGCCCACAAACCCTGCCTGGCACCTTGAGTGAAGTCAGTTAATGAACAAATACCTAAACCTACTGTCTCATTTACTTCCCCTTCTTCCCTTTGACTCTGGACAAACTGGCAGGCTACCGAATGTAGCCTGCCCACACGGCAGAGTCTGGCAGAGTCTGGCAAACTCCCCGTGGCGTACCCAATATGCCAAATACCAGTAACAATGATGGGTCTCATTCTCCTAAAGAGCCTTGAGTATAGCACTTTCTTAAAAATCTCAGGGCTAGGATGAAGGAGACGTTACTGGGGCCTGCTCGAGGCAATCGACGAATAACAGGATGGTTGTGATTCGTGTTTCTTCCCTTTGACACTGTTGTTGCAATGGCTACAGGGCTTGTACACTTGGTTGTGGTGCACTAGAGAGCACAAACTTTTGTATACAAGATGCTCAGGATCCCAGAGTTCAGTGCTGTGGGGACCGGGCTGGGCATATGGGAGGTACAGGGGATCAGAGTTTCGGCCTCATACATGAAAGACTGATACTGTATTACTGAGCCAATGTTCTTGGGAATCGTTCATTTTTTTTTTTTTTTTTTTGCTTTTTGGGTCACACCTGGCGATGCACAGGGGTTACTTCTGGTTCATGTACTCAGGAATTACTCCTGGCGGTGCTCGGGGGACCATATGGGATGCTGGGAATCGAACCTGGGTCGGCTGTGTCCAAGGCAAACGCTCTACCCGCTGTGCTATCGCTCCAGCCCCCCTCGTTCATTCTTAAGAACTGCCTTTGAAGTAGGAGACAGCACACCCAGGTTTGCTCACAAAACAAAAGATTTGAGTTTGGGAAAGGCCCTGGACTGGAGATGACTGATGCTCAGAGCTGGAGCCAGATTGTACCGAGGGTTACCAACACTGCCTTTGTGGGGAATAATTTTGGTTTAGTGGAGGGTTGTTTTGTTTGGGGGCCACACTAAGCAGAGTCAGAGGCTACTCCTGCTGGGATGCTGAAGCCTCACTCCTGGCATGCTCAGAGTCCCTGTGATGCCAGCGACTGAACCCAGACCTCCTGAATTCAAAGCATGCTCCTTAGCCTTTGAGCTCTCTCCATGGTCTCCGGGGTGACTGAGCCACAGGGCACTCTGACCTCTGGCTAAATATTATTTGGGTGACTAGAATGATGTTACTAGGCGAAAGGGACATTTTAATCAGTAGCCAGGACAAAACTGTCTGCAAGTGTATAGGTCTCACTGAATTCTTTGAAATTCTTTGAATAAGTAAAGATTCTTCCTTTGTGTGATCGTCTCTTGAGCTGGGACACGGTACATTCAACCTTCACTTATCCTAGAACCTTCAGTATGAGCATTTGGGAGGCAACCCCAGAATCTGTTATCTGGCTCCTACTAGGGACAGGTCATTCTCTCCAATCCATCCATTCTGCCTCTCTGTGAACTCCAGCTAATACAACACCCCAGGTCTGATTGACTGGGATGATGCACAGGATCCAGCGCGGAATTTTACTCGTGCAATTTACTATGGTGAATGGGTACAAAGCAGAATCATCAATGGGAAGAAGGCCAAAGCCAGAAGAGCAGAGTACATGCTTCCCCAAGTCCTTTCTCCGAGTCACAGAGATGTACTTTATCCCTGCGGGAGGGGTGGTGGAAGTTGAGACAAAAAGCGGTGGGTAATGATGCCCACCAGGGGCTCGTAAGAGATTCGATACCCAAGGGGATTTTTTACTGAGGGAGACAGTAGCTGTCTCCCTGGAGTTTGCTCAAAGTCCAGACTTGCAGAAGGAAAGCAAGAGTTCAGCATAAGCCACTTTGGGGGAGGGGGGGTGGTAATAATAATTTATGCACAGTGGTCTGCTCATTATTCAGAAAATGTGCACTAGAGCACTGTAGCACTGTCCTCCCGTTGTTCATTGATTTGCTCGAACGGGCCCAGTAATGTCTCCATTGTGAGACGTGTTGTTACTGTGTTTGGCATATCAGATACATCACGGGGAGCTTGCCAGGCTTTGCCGTGCGGGCAAGATACTCTTGGTAGCTTGCCAGGCTCTCTGAGAGGGGTGGAGGAATCGAACCCAGCTCGGCTGGGCTGGCTGCGCACAAGGCAAACACCCTACCGCTGTGCTAGTGCAACCTTCAGGAAATCTAAACTCCCAGATGTCAAGTAGAAGGCAGCCTTGTTAGTCTGAATGAGAACATGAAAAGGTCCAACTGAAAATAAAATCTCTGAACTTTACAAGGAAGTGCTGTATTATATTCTAAGTCCCCAAGGGTTTGTCTGTCAGTGGAGCGAGGGAGTAGTGGTGACTTAGGAAATCTTATTACATTCTCACTGGACAGATTTAAGAACAGGAGTTAGATCAGAAGTGGAGGGAATTATGTTTATGAAGTTCCTTGAGTAATAGATGTTAAAGTGTTTTTTTTTTCTGTTGTCATTTTCCATTTGTTTTTTTGTTTGGGGGGCCACACCTGTTGATGCTCAGGACTTATACATGGCTCTGTGCTCTGTGATTACTCCTGGCAGAGTTTGGGGGACCATATGAGACATATGAGATACTGGGGATCGAACACGGGTCAGACAAAGCATGTAAGGCAAATGCCCTACCCGTTCCACTATCTCTCCAGCCCCAAGAGAATCACTCACTCTTGATGTTAGAAGGTCCAACCTGATCCTTGGCACAGGAATCTTTATTTTCTTTTGTTCCTGTGCCATGGATTGAATCCAGGGTCTCATAGACATGTGTTCTGTGGCTCAGCCATAGTTTCGGTACCCTGTTTTTTTTGGGGGGTGGGGAGGGCGGTGAACACCTGAAAGTACTCAGGGTCAGTCCTTTCTTTTGGGTTTTCTCCTACTGAAGGTTCGTCAAGCTGTACCCCATCAATGAATCAGCTTTTCCACCCTCACACTCTAGGACCTCTTCCCAAACCCAAACCACTATGTTGTCCTGCTAGCACTTGAAACAAAGTAGCTGTGTTCAGTTTTTTTCAAAAGGAACATGCATAAATATGTACAGATCTTCCCAGATAAAATATGAAAAATACACTTCGGCCTCAAAAATACACTTCGGTTTAAAAACCTGGAATGCTGGTGCTGGAGAGATGAAAGGCACTTTCCTGTTGACTTAAAAAAATTTTTATTATGTTTTTGATGTGGAAGGTGGAGCAGAGGAAGGAAATGGAATAAGAAGGTTGAATTATCTCAGTAGTTTTCCAGGAAGTTCAATTGTAAGCAAGTCCAAAATTCAAGAAGAAAATCAAGTTTTGTTAAAATTACTCTAAGTATCCACCTTTCATGGGAGGTGTTGGGGAGCAGATAATTCAGTTAAAAGCCATTAAAATGAGCATGAGGCAGAGGGTTCAGACTCCACTGAACTAACCTGAATCTTCCATAGCAATAGGTGACAAAAGTGCTAAACTTACTGCAAATTGCTGGGCTTGGTTTCAGAAATATGAACATCTCATCCCCACTCTGAGTGAACTGCACATTTTCCCCAGTAAAAGAAGCATGGCCAACTCCAGGAAGATGGCTCTCAGAGCCATTAGGCCTCACTTTGCCTGCAAGTGGTTCCCTTCAGTACTGCAGGGAACCCTAAGCACCCCTGGCAGTGACCTCTGAGCACTGCACCAGGAGTGGCCCCACAATTTAAGGAATCACAGAGGCAGAGGTACCTGGATTCTGTGTCCCACCCCTGGGAAACTGAGACACACGCAATATTTTTTTCAGTTTATCTCAGCAAAATCAATCCGCACAGGCAGAATCAAACCAGAAATGGTTGGGGCCAGAGCAATAGGACAGTGGGTAGGGCGTCTGCCTTGCACAACCCTGGTTCAATTCCTGGCACTCCATATGGTCCCTCAAACACTGCCAGGAGTAACCCCTGAGCAAAGCTGGGTATGACCCAAAACACAAAACCAAATCCAACCCTAAAGTGGTTAAAAGTGCTCAGCTAAAGGAAGATGAGGGGCGTGTGTGCGTGTGTATGTCTATGTGTGTGTATCTGTATGTAATACAAGAGGGAACAGTAGAGGTCATTGGCTAAACAAGGATATTTGGATTCAAGATCGCTTAAAACCTACTTGGTTAGGACTGGTTGTCCTTAGGCTTCACTTTGGTAACTCCGAGACCTCTGCACTTAGATTTTGGTTTTGCTTATGTCTGTCACCACGGATGGTATTCAAGTCACCTCAACATAATGGTTTTTCCTATGTTTTATTTATGTATTTGTTTTGGGATCACACCCGGTAGTGCTCAGGGCTTAGCTTACTCCTGGTGGGCTCCAGGGCCCATATGGGATGCTGGGGATTGAAACTAGGTCAGCTGTGTACTAAGCAAGCCCTATCCACTTGCTCTGGCTCCTTTCCTACTGTTCTAGCTGACTTCCCTGGGTTTGCTACAATACCAGCGGTGCTCGCTAAGGTACAACACTGTATATATTTGCTGGGGCACAAACTCTTCCTTGTCCAGCCAATAAGTAATTCTATGATCTAAAACCAACTTAGTAAGAAAGCCCAGCAACTTTGGTTGCGTAGCTGTGTGGCTGTGCCTTCATGAGAGAGTTAAGGATAGTTGCATGAGTTCAGGAACATTATCTTCCTGTGCACTAACAGGAAAAGCAATTGGTGAAAAGGTCAAAGAAGTAAGAGCTTCATGATGGAGATCAAAATTCAAATCCATGAATTTAGAAGAGCTATCTCAAGATACTCTGTTTTGGGACCGGAAATGCCCACACAGATTTTAAGTTTATTTCTATCTCTGGCAGGTGTACCATTTCCAGAGTCTGGAGGTGCACTTTCCATTGCAAGGTGTAACCCCAGCATTCAGGTCCCTCAAATCTGACGGCCACTTGGGTACCTAAGAGAACTTGCTACATTCCCATTCAAGAAAATTCAAGGGTGGTCTTAGTTCTTGGGTAGAGGATATTGAAACTGTTTTGTTTGGCTTTTCTGTTTGAGAGCCACACCCAACTGTGCTCAGGGCTTACTCCTGGCTCTGTGCTCAGAAATTACTCTAGGCAATGCTCAGGGAACCATATGGGGTGCCGGGGATAGAATCAGGGCCAGCCACATACAAGGCAAGAGACTTACCCCAGTATTGTTCTTGCTGGGGTACTGGTTACAGGGCTTGTACACACAGAGTTGAGTTGGAGGTTGAACCCTCTGCTCGGCATGCCCTGGGGACCTTAAAGTGAGTTATCACTGCCCCCCCCCCCCCCCACGACTGATCTTCTAAAAGCCTCTCCAGGGTAAGACGCCTAACCCAGGACTCACCGTCAGTCTTTGGAGGATATTTCCTCTCTTCTCAAGGTCTCCCACGATATCCTGAGGATCCTGCCAGGAAACGACCATCGTTACTCACCAGATCAGTCTGCTGGGAGCCCTGCAAACAGTGTGCTGGGACTTTATTGGCTCCATAAAGTCAAACTTCCTTTACTACAACTGTCTGATAGGATCTTGTTTTAGGCAGATTCCCAAATCCTCTACATTCCAGTCAAAGTCTTGGGAATAAAAACAGCACTTCCCATTGTGTCCTATTCTAGGGACCAATTTTTATGGAGTGCATCCACGTAACAACATTGCATGAAAATAAATTTCCAAGTTCTGGATGAATCAGGTAGGGAGGAAAATAAAGGTTTCAGTTACAAAGGTATACATTACCAGAGTTGTATGTCAGAGACAGCTTAAGAGAAAAATCAAGGTTTCCTTAAACCTGGAAAACAAAACATTAAGGAATTAGAAATGTCTCGAGGAATAACAGTTAAAGAAGTTATAATCAGCATCAGTTCATTTAATCCTACGTTACTGACTCTTGTTCTGCTTGAATGCTGTCTTTTTATTAGTTCTAAAATTCTTGTCCCACTGAGGATTATCATCTTAAAGTTACCAGAAACCTGTCTTTCCCCTGAAGCTCTTTGAATATGAACTTCTGCAAAAGCATGAGGGTAAAAGAGTAACTGCAAATGTCAAAAAGAATTTAGGGCCAAGAGTATACGGTACACGACGAGTAAGTCCACCATCCACACGCTGTGGACCTGTTGTTTAACAAAGCGCTCTTTCTCCATATCACCTCATCTCTCTCAATCAACTGGCACCAAAAAGCAACTGCAAGCTGGCCTTTGTGACCGCAAACTAACCACCACGTGTGCCACGACAGGCAGAAAGCCACGTTTCCTGGACTTAGAAGGAGACAAAGGAGAAAGCCATCACTTTCTCTGGGAAGCATTCGCTGACTTCAGTGTCTGATAAAGTCTTACATGCAATCACCAGGTACTAGGAACGGGGAAAGCCTCAGGCAGCGCCAGAGGCATCGGAGAGCCAGGAGCTTGAGTGGCCCAAGTATGCAGTACCACACCACGGCTGGCCACTTACCACACCTGGGGGATCCAAGTCTCTCCTGACACCAAAAACTGGTAGGAGATAACATTTCAAAACTTTATTATTAAGATGCCTGGGGTAGGAACAATCAATGAAAAGCAGAGCCAACCTGGAATGCTTAGGAGAGCCCCATCAAGAGACAGATGCTCAGGAGCGATGGACAAGAGAAAAGGCGGCGGGACAGCGCAGACAGGTCAGTTTCTGGTTCACGTGGCTGTCCGTGACCCCTACAGCGTTCGCTGGTTTGGATGCTGGGCCACGTGGTGCCACCTCAGCTCAGGGCCGTCTGGTGGGGTTAATTTAAACAATTCTTACCAGCGGATTTTCCCCCTGGTTTAGTGTCAAAACCGCCTCTGGATAAACTGTGCCTGTGAGGCGTGGTGCGGGGGGAGGGTGGCCTGGGAGGGCCTCCAATGACGGCCTTTCCCCCGCCCCGCAGGAAGTAAAGTCCACTGGCCAAGGCGCCCAAATTGGCTCTGACCTTGGGCTCCGACAAGGCTCGCTTGTGTTCACAGCCCAACTAACTGCCCGGGAATGCAAGGTACAGTCTCGAGAACTTCCTAGTTTCTCTGTTTTTCTCTTGGCTTCATCTGTGGAGAGGGCTCTGGCTGAACAGCACATAGTAGGTAAGATGAAAAGGGGGTTGTGCGCTGGGATGGCTTTCTGGCATGGCTGGAGGGACTGGCATCTTCGGAGATTCCCCCTTGCCCCTCCCCCCGCCCCCTCTTCCCCCCTTCTCCCGCCGGCCAGCTGGCCTGTCCACACCCACTGGGTGGAGCCTCCCCGGCAGTGCAAGCCCGCCTTCCTGCGGGAGAGCCGGTGGCTGTCCCCTGCCTCTCAGGGTTAACTCTCTTCTCTTTACCTGGTCACAGAATTATATCATGGAATCACTGGCAAAAAGGCAGGGGCACAGGGGCCATCCGCTCTTGAACACTTATGAGCACATTACCTCCTAACAACACAACGTTCTCCAGCGACTACCAGCACATCCAAGACCTGCTGCTCTGTCTCAGTCTACCTTCACACCTCCTCAGTGCTCTTTCTGTAGCAGAGTGCCCCCTCAAGGCTGTCGCTGTACTGTTCTGTCCCTTAGGACATTATTTCTCCTGGAGCAAATGCTTGGGAAAGTAGCTCCCAGGGGCCTGAACCCCTTTGCACTTTATTTCTCTTAAGTCTAGAGCTCCCCCGAGGACCTCACCCAGCTTCCCCAGGCTTTTGGCTGGTGGGAGGACACCAGGGACAGTTCTTGGCGTGGTCACCCCCCATGGATCAGTAGCTCTGACTTTGCTGCTGTCTGCTCTGCAAGTCCTGCTGGAAAGGGCCAGTGTTCTGACGTGACATCTTCCAGGCGCCATTCAAGCTAGTGGCAGATTTTTGTGGTGGCTTTGATGTTCCTCAATTCATTCATACTCTTTCCCTAGCGTTCATCCAGTTCAAGGATCTGCCTTGATTGTGGTTACGGAAGACAGAGCCAGAGAGTATTTGAGGCCGTCAGGCTTCCAGGCAACTAAGGACAATCGGAGTGAGCTCTCAAAAACCCTGTGTCGTTGTCACATGAAACCAGGCAACACGCCCCCAGAAAAGCCCCAGCAAAGCCCCGTGTGAGGAGTCTCCCAAGCAATACTCCTTAAGGGGGTGCTAAGGAATCCCTCAGTGTTTCAGGACCTCAGGGTCACACCTGGAAGTGCTCCAGAGTCTTCCACAGCTGCACCCTGCAATGTCTGGGAACCATGTGTGGTGCTGAGGATTAGTCACTTGCGAGGGAAACACCTTAGCCACTATATCATCTGCCTGGCCCTCTTGCTTGAATTAAAAAGCAAAACAAGCAAAACGGGGGCCTCCCCAATGGTGCTCAGAGGGCAGTGCAGACCAAACAGTGCATTCCTCTATTGGCAATGAGGTGCTGCTCAGGCTAGCAGTGCTGTGGGTGGGAGGTGGTTGGGGGGGATCTTCTCAAATGCCAGGCATGAGCTCCTCCCCCTTCAGCTCCTGTGTGGGGAGGGGCATGGATCGAAGCCCCCCCCCCCCCACTCACCAAGTTTGAAGTTGAGTTCGGAGTGTCTAGAAACAACCGCCGAAATGAGAGTAAATCATCCTCTCTTAAAGCAGGTGTCTTTAAAACAATTACACTTCAAGTAATTGTAATTACTTTTGCTTGGGGGGGGGCATACCTGGTGATGATCAGGAGCTACTCTGGGCGCTTTGGTCCCTGGCAGTGATCTGGGGACCATGTGTTGCCAGAGATAGAATCTGGGTCTCCTGTATACTCTAGCCTGTTGAGGGGGTCTGGCCCCTGATCTAAACTTTCAAACTTTTAAAAAACATACATATATTTTAAATTTTTATTGAATCACTGTGAGATACACAGTTACAAAGTTGTTCATGATTGGGTCTACCACCAATGTCCCCAGTCTCCCCGTTCCCCTGCCTCTATGGCAGGTTGGTCTCTCCCCTCTCCCTCCCCCTCCCCTCTTATCACCCCCTTTGGCCATTATGGTCTGCAATACAGATACTGAAAGGGTATCATATATATATATATATCCCTTTACCTCCTCTCAACACTAAACATTCAACCTTTCTCTGTGATACGAAACTACTTGTACCAGGCCAGGACAGTAACTAAGAGGGCAGAGAACATGCTTTGCATGCCGAGGCCCAGATTGATCTTCAGCACCACATGGTCCACAACAAGCAGGTGTAGTCCCTGAGTGACTGAAAATTTTAAAAAACAGCAATGTTTAGGTCAGTATCCTGTAAACTGACACAGCGATGTCTCGGGTTTGACACAGGAGCCTGAGGCTAAGGCGTCATGCCGAGAAGGGAGGGGAAGGCCCGTACCTACGCACAAGCCCCAGATGGAGGCTGGGGATGGATGGTCGTGCTCCACTTCTTCCTGGTAAGAGAACGCTCTACTCTTCTACGGTCTGGCAGGAAGCCCCCCCCCCCCCCCCCCCCCGAACAACCCAGAACAGCCTGACTACAAGATCATCTATGAATTCCTCAGCACACGAATGTGGAGAGGGAAAGACCTGAACTGCCATTACCTGCTCAGCCCACTGCCTACAGTGCACAGTGAAAAAAATGCACCCCCAACCCCCCAGTGGAGCAAAGAATACCCATCCAGCAACTCCACTCCTCCCCACCCCTTAAACCACGGTGTGCCCCCTCACCACCTGCTGCCAGGCTCTGGGCACACTGAAGTTAAGAGTTTGGGGACAATCACACACTTAACCATCCCACCCAGACAGCTTATGCTAGAATCAGGCCTGGTGTCTGTTTCAAGAGAGAGAATGCAGTTTCTGAAACCAGAGCTGGATTTTTCCACTAAAGCTACCAGCAAGCGGAGCACATGCTCTGGGTTTGCTTTTGACGGTGTGCAGTGCTTCTGACTCTGTGCTCAGGGATCACTCCCAGCAGTGCCCAGGGAAACATATGCAGTGCCAGGGAATGAACTGGGATTGGCCATGTGCAGGCAAGAGCTCCCGCTGGGCCTTGTCTCTGGCCTCTCTGACTCTCAAGTAAGCCCCTTGCCCTCACCCTGCTTCTTGGTTAGGTATGTGAACAGTGGAGAGGTGAGCCACTGGCATGGCTATTCTAGAATGTTCGGGAATCCATTCCTGTTCTCCAAAAGACCATACTGGCTCCACTCTGAAGGGAGTGGGGGTTCTGAAGGGTCCCAGAGAAGTTCTGTTCCCTTTGCGATGGGCTCACAAAGACTCTGTCTGTGGGTCTCCCCATATTCTACTCTGAGGACAAAGAATACAGATCCGAGTGCCGATAAACAATCCTGTCACCTGCAAGCTGGGTATCTAGATCTGTAAATAGGATGAGAACACATTACAACACAGGATGGGGCAGAAGTTCTCAGCCAAAGGTTTATATAAAACCAAGCTACCAAAATGCTTAGGGCTGGAGTGATAGTACAGCGAGGAAGGCATTTACCTTGCACACAGCCAACCAGGGTTCGATCCTCAGCATCCCATATGCTCCCCACAGCACCACCAGAAGTGATTCCTGAATGCAGAGCCAGAGCATTGCTGGCCTGATCACTGCTTGGTGTGACCCCCGCCCGCAAAAGAGCCAAAGATAAACAAACTACCCAAATGGCCAATTTATTCAATTTGAAATTATCAAAGAATGTGTGTGTGTATGGGGGGGGTTCCTAAAATGTTACCAACAAGGAAACTAAGCGCGTCCTAACTGAGAGTCCGTCCTTCTCGTGGAGGCAGCCCAACTCAAGGCTTCGCGTGCCCAACGAGATGCTCAGTTCCTTACCTTTCTCTCCAGGAGTCACCCTCCCTTTCCCTACTTTGCCCTAGGAGGGTCAGGAAGTCATTTGACCAACTTGGTTTCTCTTAAGAAAAATAATCTACAGTTCGGGGAGATGACACAGGGATGAAGATTCTTGCTTTGCACCCCAATGACCCTGGTTCAACTCCCCAGGCTTTGTTCCCTGAGTACAGATTCAGGAATAGCCCCTGAATACCACAGGGGACGGCCCAAGTCCTCCCACTCCAAGGAAAGAAAAATGATTTAACAATTAGATTAATAATAAGGCATATCTCACTTTTTTTTTTAGGTTTGCCTATAAAATACACACACAAAAATCCAGATCCTTAAAATGTTAACAGCTAACACAGGCCAATGACCCACTGTAGTTAATGAATGACTTTGCCTTAGTTTCCTGTGACAAGTGCTCTTTCCCACAGTAGCTGAACTGTAAACGTGAGGGAAAAGTCCCAGTGCTGGTTTATTTTTTTTGGGGGGGGGGGTGGAGTGATGTTTGGGCCACACCCAGAGTGATGCTCAGGTGCTACTCAGAAATTACTCCTGACAGTGCTTGGGGGAACCACATGAGGTGAAGTGCCAGGGATCAAACCCAGGTCAGCCAAAGGCAGGGCATGTTTTCTTCCCCTGATCTACCTTTCTGGCACCTTCCTTTCTTTCCTCCTTCTCTTAGTGGTATGATCATATTAAAGACTCAATTAGTACTTGTTAATGGACGAAAAACTGGATGGATGAGTCTTATTGATGGAAACACTTAAGCATAAACAAGGAAGAAGGTGGTAACGACATGGCAGGGTCTGTATGACACAAGAACATTATCTCTATCATTACGTAAAGAGGAACTCGTCAAACAAGGATACAGGGCCATGGGGGGGCGGGGACAGTGGTGGTGAGGCATGGCAGGGATGGCTTTGGCTAGAAATAGCTGTAAAGGGTCATTCAGGTGGGTAACAGGTTGGTCGGACACAAGCCTAGGACCGCTGCAAGAATCGAGGAAGAAAACATAAAGCAGGAAATCAAGGGAGTAGTTATGGAGATGGAGAGAAAATATAACGAGTGACAGGTGGAGGACTATAAGACTTGGAGAACAAGAGAGCATGTCAGGGGATCCTGGGTTGCTGCTCTGGGCAGCTTGGAGAATACATATGCTGTTCACTGGAAGACAAAGGAGAGGAGACAATCAGGCTAGCTTCATGGTTGTTTTTGGACATTCTGAGGAACTTGTGACATAACCTGCAATACGTTCAGCACGGTCCGTGTGCCCCTGAAGCAGAGGCTCTGGGTAGAAACAGTGCCATCAGCACACATGACAATCTAATCAAGGGTGTGTATGTGTGTGTGTATCCGCATGAAAATCAGAGCCATCAGCACCCATGACAATCTGAGGGTATAATGTGTCTGTGAATTAGCGTCATCAAGACTGAGGGTGTGTGTACGCAGACATGTGTGTAATCACCAGGGCGAGGGCAGAGCAAACAGGACAGTAGCCTGCAAACACAATGCCTGGGGACAGCAAGGGTCGAAGGCACCCTCCTACCCCTGTCCCCAGAAGACAGAGGGCAGCAGAGAAGCAGGCAGGAAACGTTTAGTTGATGAGCACATAGGCCTGAGGTCAATATCCAGCCCTTGTTCCAAAACAAGGAAACCTAATACTTCCCTGGGTCCTTGGAGTAGGGGCCTGAGAGGAGATAGGCACTGCCCATTACAGACCTTTGGGAAGGTCAGTTAAGAACAGTCATGTTAAGAGAGGAACCAGGGACAGGAACTTGTTACTACAGACTTACTGACCGGGTCTAGTGCTCTGCATTCAAATAGGGCTGCTGGAACTGATCCAATCCCCATCCTTTAGACAATATTCTTACTATCTGATAAGGGAGCTCTTTCCCTACTGCTAAGGGGAAGTAAACTTAAGGACGACCAAGAACTGAGTGGGCTGGGATCAATCACAGGAGCATGTCTAAGGGCTCGGGGCTTCTAGATTTGGGGGGAGGCTGCTCAAGGCAGTGCCCAGGGCACCACACAGTGTCGGAAATTGTGCTCAGCCCTTTGCACCATCTCCCCAGTCCTGCGGTGGGGGTGGGGAGGCCTTGATTTTGGAGTGCACCCATTCACAAGTCTGATGGGGTCTCTGGGGCAGACCTGAAACCTGGGAGCAAAGTGTGGGACAAAACAGTGTGTAAGAAGAGATTTATTGGGGGCTGGAGCGACAGCACAGTGGATAGGGCATTTGTCTTGCAGGCGGCCGACCCGGGTTTGACTCCCAGCATCCCATATGGCCCCCTGAGCACCGCCAGGGATAATTCCTGAGTGCAGAGCCAGAAGTAACCCCTGTGCATCGCCAGGTGTGACCCAAAAAGCAAAGAAAAAAAATCTAGACTGGGGGGAAGAGTTTTTTAATATCCCCGTGTCAAAATAAAAACAAAGGAAGGTTACAACTCAAGAGGCAAGGAAGGTGTGAAAGTGTGTCCTTGACCTTCCTGCTAACACTCAGTGGAAAACAAACTCCGCCTGTCTGTCTGCAGTGCACCCTGGGGATCCAACTCAGGGCCTCACACATGCAAGGCTCTGTCCCAAGCTATATTCACAGCCCCAGACTCAGCTATTAAAGACAAATCCTATTTACCACTCCTATGTCCAGACATCAAGAACAGAGCAGAAGGAAAGACCCTGAATTGGGGGTGGGGTAGGGGTGGCAGCAGCTAGCCAGTCAGGTGACTGAGAACGCAGAGCTCAGCATCACAAAGATGCCAGTGCAGAAGTCACAACTGCACAGACCAGGCAGTCCCACTTACAGACTGTGGCATCACTCCAGTGCTCCCCAAGGAGCACTGCTTGTGTTCTGAACCCAGAGACAAGAGTCTGGCTTGAATCAGATCTCTGTATATTCTCTAGTACTGCTTTCTGGAAGGGAGCAACAGGACAAGACATCCTGTTTCACTACTGAATATACAGACCTGGGGCTTGTAGCACTATTGGCTCCAAACAAGGAAAAGTTTTGTATCATCTCTCCGATCAAAATGGGAAACTGATATGGAGGGGCTTGCTTTTCCCCAGCTCAGACTTTTATCGTCCGGGAGCATCACTCCAGACGATGAATAATGCTATCCAAAGAGCCAGAGCAGTCTTGATTACTACTAGGAGGTAAGGGCTGAAGGAAGTGGCTAAGAGGAGGCAGGTAAATACCAACCAAAGGAAAAGGAGAGGGGGGAGAGGGGGAAAGGGAGGGGGGGATGAGAGAGAGAGAGAGAGAGAGAGAGAGAGAGAGAGAGAGAGAGAGAATGGGTTGAGTGAGTACAGGGGCTAAGACTGTGCCTTGCAGAAGGCTGATCCCACTTTAATCCTCTGCACCACCTGGTCCCCCACAGCATCGCTGGCTGTAGCCCAGGGTGGTCCCGGGTGACCCCTGCTATGGCAGGGCCCAAGTAGCATCACATCCTCAGAGCCTCATTTTGATGAAAAAAATCATCACTGGAAAGAAAGGGCCCCCAGGAGCCCACCAGGACACTGACGACCCAGCCCTACGCCCCAATAAAAGGGAGAAAAAGAATAGGACGAGCAGTTGTGGGGTAAAAACAAGAATGTTTAGTTTGGGATGGGCTGACTTAAGATAGAAATAAGACAAAGGAGTCTGAGGCTCTAAGAAAAGCAAAATTTCATGAGAACTGAGCGTTAAGTATTGCCCGGTGAGGACTTCCTCAGTCTTCACATGAGCCAGACAACATTTTTTTAGGTCAGCTTTGCTCTGTCTGCTTTCGAGTTGAATACCCTTCTTTCTTCTCTTAGATGATTCAAATTGAAACATTTTCCAGGTATTAAAAAAGTGGTAATACTGCATTCACAGAAGAGGATGCATAACTGCTGCAAAGCTGTTTGCCCAAGGTCCTTAGTCTTGCCCAAGGCTACCAGGGAGGCAGGATACAGGCCAAGGGAGACTAACTCAAGCTCAGGACTCAGAACTCCTCCACCACGTGCTGTCCATGGCCATAACTTTGAGACTGAGCAATTGTTCATGGAGTAGGTGTTAAGTTAAAGAGGGCAGCATCCCAGGGAGAAAGCCTCTCCCTGATCGGCAAGAAAAAGACTGTGTATGTGGAAGGGAGCTGAGGTTTTGCAGTGCTTCTGAAGTAATGCACGGCCAGGCTGAAAGCAAAACTGTAGGCTTGTGAAACCACGGGAAGGAATGTGGGGAGCCAAGAAGTCCTTGGAGAGAGTGTACAGACATGGGGCCTAAGCTAAGGGTCTGTACACTCTGATGGGTTCCCCTAACTATTTGCCCTCCTGGCTGCAGCTGAAAGTATTCAACTAGTAAGAAAAAAAAAATAGAAAGGATGAAGAATAACTCTTCATTGCCTCCCAAGCTCAACAGACTGACAAGGTAACAAAAGCACTAAGCAGAAGGCCCAGAGTGCAGTGAGTAAGGCCCCTGCCTTGCACGCAGCCAACAGATTCCATCCTTGGCACTGCATATGGTCGCTGAGTCCCCCGCAGGAGTGATCAATTTGAATCATCTAAGAGAAGAAAGAAGGGTATTCAACTTGAAAGCAGACAGAGAAATGCTGACCTAAAAAAAGTGGCAATATTGTATCTTTTTGGCCCAATGTGTTTCTTTCAAGGTTAAGTAGAATTAGCTGACAGAGGCCAGTGTAACAGACTCAGGACAGCTGATCTGGGGCTAATTCTATCTAGGTTTAAACCTCAGCTCTGGCACTATTTTGAACAACATTTACTCTCTACCCTTCAACTTCCTGATCTCTAATACAATATTGGCATACCCGTCCTATAGCCTTGTAATGAAGTTCTAAGAGGTTACCCACTCCATAAAATATGAAATCTTTAACAAGGAACCACCTAGTCAGTAAATCCTAGTGAGCTGGGGCATCCTCACCCCCTGTGGCTGTAATTTTCTCTGTAATGACCCACCACCTGACTTGCACTCTTATCTGCTAATGACTCACCACCTGACTTGCACTCTTATCTGCTTTGACTTAGGTAAATGTGATTGTGATGGGGATGACCAAGACATTTGCAATTTTCTTTGTGATTTTTCAAGAAGAGTTTGAAAGCACCTCAAAGCAAACTGGTTGGATTGGATCCATCATGTCCTCACTTCGTTTCTCTGCAGGTACAAGGCAGCAATAAGCTTGGCATCCAAGGACCTGGGCCCAACAATACTCACCTGATGGTCAAGCAAGGCAGGAGCATTGCTACAACGTAGCTTCAAGTATTAATATGTAAAGCTGACACAAGGATGGAGTGTTTAGCTTTCAAGTGACTTGATAAAGTTGAAAATACTTTCAGAGAAAGAAAGCACAAGAGCCCACCTCTTCCTTAATTCCACAACTCAGTTTTTAATCCCTTCGTTCCAGTCCCTTCGTTCCAGTGCCTTAACTTCTGTTCAGGGACCTAGTTTCTCAACTGGGATGCCAGTTCATTAAGATCTAATCACCAATGTATATTTAAGCCAAAATACACATTTTTTTTTTTTTTTGGCCATGGGATTGGGGTCATACCTGGCAGTGCTCAGGAATTGCTCCTAGAAGTGCCTTGGGGAACCATATTCAGTTCTGAGGACCAGACCAGGGTTAGCCTCTTGTAAGGCAAGTCCTGTAAAACCTTAACCATTGTACAGTCTCTCCAGCTGTCCTCTAGTTTTATCTGGAAATGTAACATGATAGAGGGAACAGATTAATGATAGTACCTTGTTCTTGTGATTGTCACTGGATACAACCTTGTTTGCAGTGGTTTTACAACGTACAATTAAGAAATTTCTCCTTCAATCAACTTAATGAAAAAATAAATAAAAAAAGTATGTGGAGGAAAGTTGACACTGGTGGTATTGTATACCAGCAACTATCAGTAACTAAACCATGGCTCTTGCAATAGTGGGTAAGGTGCTTGCCCTGCACATGACTGACCTGGATTAGATCATATCGTCCCATATGATCTCCCTAGCACCACCAAGAACGATCTCTAAGCAATGCCAGGTGTGCCACTTCCCAGCCCCTCCCAGCAATGCCAGATGTGCCACTTGTCCCCCGCTGTCCCCCAAACAAAGTAACAAGGCCAGGATGATAGCTCAAAGGACGCAGGGTTCATTCTTGGGTACCACATGACCCACTGAGCACAACTGGGAGAGACCGCTGAGCAATGCACTGGAAGTAGCCGCGTATTCCCGGGTGTGGACCCAAACGCAAGCGGAAGTCCCCAACAAAACCCTTTCAAAAAGGAAAAAAAATGTAGAATTGGGATTAAGAAATCCAACAAAATGATTTTTTCTTTGTTGCTATGAGAACTGGGTGGTCGGGGTGGGAGTGTGGGGGGTATCTAAACACATCTGATTGCAGTGCATTTGGATTCTTGGACACTCAGGGATTGAATCTTGTCCTCATGCATCTGCTATATAATTTTGAGGAATATATAATACTCCAAAGTAGAATCCTCGTTTCTTTAGCCCCTCATTTAAGTGGTATACTCTAGAGAGGGGTCAGACATTGGTCTTGCACACAGCTTACCTGGATTTGAGCCCCGGCACCCCGGAGTCCCCTGAGCCCTCTAGAATAATCTCTGAGTGCAGAGCCAGTAGTAAGTCCCCTGAACGCCACTGGTCATGGCTCCCCAAACTCACACATAAATTGTAAACGGAGGGGTGTCAGAGCACATTTACAGTCTCTGCCTTTCTTTCTCTTCCTAAGGCCCTCTGGCTGCCATTATCTGTGACATCACTGGAGAGAGAACTGCCTCCCTTCTTGGGGCGCTCCTCTTCACTGGCGGATATCTAATCAGTAGCTGGGCTACAAGCATTTCCTTTCTCTGTGTGACTATGGGATTTTTACCTGGTAAGTCTAGTGTAAAAATAAGACTGTTTAATAAAGTTGGGCCTCAGAATCTTTCCTTTTACTGTTCATGAATCCAAAAGGCCTCGTTACACGATCAAGAAGGAAAATCTTGTCTGGTACCAAGTCACTTAACGTGAAAGCAGCTGAAGCTGTGAACGTTTGTCTTTTAGGTCTGGGTTCCGCTTTCTTGTATCAAGCAGCTGCTGTGGAAATTACGAAATACTTCAAAAAACGCCTGGCTCTTTCCACAGCTATTGCTCGTTCTGGGATGGGATTCACATTTCTCCTAGCACCTTTTACAAAATTCCTGGTAGATCTGTATGATTGGACAGGTGAGTCATTCGAAATTCCTGAATTCGAAATTCTAGCTCTGCAAGTCTTGATGTTCAACTCTTTTAACTCTGAAGGGAAACAAATTCTTATAGCCAACGTGTGCCTTTTTCTTGGAGCTTCAAGACTAGAGGTCTTGAAGCACTTGCAGGGTTCCCCTTCCACCCTTAGCAAAGCAGTCCCTAGTCCAATTTCCCCTTTAAGAAAAAAACCTATTAAAAAATGCCGGGACTGGAACAACAGTACCGCGGAGAGGGCATTTGCTTTGCACACAGCCAAGCTGGGTTTGATCCCCAGCATCCCATATGGTCCCCTGAGCCACCCCTAGGAGTAATTCCTGAGTAGAGAGCCAGGAGTAACCGCTGAGTATCACCAGGTATGACCCAAAAAGCAAAAAAGAAAGAAAAAAAAAAAGCTTCCTCCATCAGATTCACTCGACAGATTGGGGGGGTGGTGGGATCCTCAGGTAAAAAATTAAAAGGGCCATGTTTCTTAAAGGTTCATTTTTTGTTAAAGTCAACTACACCAGTTTGAAAATGAGAAATCACACATTTCTTGTACTTGAAACAAAACTAGATCCAAATAACTTAAAAATGCATAGTTATAACTATCACCTATAAGTTTAGTTTCATCTTGAGCAGGATCTGCTGACAAATCCCTACGACAAGTTAGTAGATCCAATAGTCAACTCTATCTAGAACCTCACATGAGTCACAGCTTTGGTCAGGACATGCTGAAACCAAACTAACTTGGCTTCAAAGGCAAGACAAGCATCTGTCTCATTTCAAGGAAATAAAAAATGTCAAGGAAGAAAGGCAATCTGCTCTCCTAACGCAGTTTCCAAATGAATATATCATCTAATTCTCCCTTTTTATTCACTACTGAAATCTATATCCTCCCGTCAGGATATTTAAAATCCCTATTTAAAAAACAGTGTAATTTTCTTGATGTTGCCAGAAATCACGCACCTCAGTTGCGGTGCTCGTACACCTAATTGTGGCGCTTGGGATCACACTTGGCATGTGGGGTGGTGGCAGGGATCAAACTCATGGCCTCATGCCCACAAAGCAGATGCTTTCTACCAGTGAGCATCCCCGGTCCCCAATTTTCTAACACTGGAAATATCTCTCCCTCCCAAACTGGTTTTATTCTTGTTGCAAAAAATAGCTCTCTCCTTCCACGCCATCTGTTGGTGCAGTTTCCTTGGTTTTCTATCTCAAAAGGACGCTCTGTTTTCATAGATACGAATGTACACAGTTAGCAATGAAATGAACAGACTTAAATAAGGGCTTTCAGCTAAATTTGCAGAAAAGCTTTCAGGACTTTTCACTACCTTTTCATGGTCAGGTTTATTCATTTTAACTTGTCAATGTCTCCTCTTCAGGTGCCCTTATATTATTTGGAGCCATCACACTGAATCTGGTGCCTTCCAGTATGCTACTAAGGCCTATCTATATCAAAAGCAAGAGCATTCCTGATGTTAAAGAGAGAGGTGGCAGCATGATTGCAAGTTCTCCAGATGCTGCGTCTGAGCCAGAAATATCACAAGTCAATGAGACACATGCATCGACCACTGGGGACACAGCAGTGTACGAGGCCAGAGAGCCCAGGACAAGTTTAATGGTCTCACAAAACCAAAGAAGAGAGTTTAACAGTGCGCCTAACAGAAATGCAGGACTGCACCTAACAACTAATGAAAGTGACAAGGTCACTTCAGGGTGCTGTAAACAAAACCTCTTTGACATGTCTGTTTTAAAGAATCCTTTCTTCTACATATATACCTGGTCTTTTCTCCTCAGTCAGCTTGCGTACTTCATCCCTACCTTTCACCTGGTTGCCAGAGCCAAAACACTGGGAATTGACATCATGGATGCCTCCTACCTTGTATCTGCAGCTGGTAAGAAAACCTTCCATTCCACACTCAAATAAGAACTTGATTTTACAAAGACTTACTAGGCTTAACAAGCTAAAAAAATGTTGTGGGTGACCCAGGAAACCCGGTTTCTGGAAGTTAGAGGAAGCAGTGGATAGTTCCCTGCCCTCACCTAACACTGTGACTTGTACTCATCTTCCTCCGATACTGGACCCCAAACCAAGTTTTACTCAATTTCCATGTATCAGTGCTGGACCCAGTAAACTTTATTAGTTGTGTAAATCCTGCATTCTGCATGGTGTGCAAGGGCAATAGTGACTCTGAGGAGGGGGGAATGGGGGGAGGGGGAGGGAAATCTTAAGATAGCATACATAGTTCATTAGCTAAAGAGACTGGCTGTAAGGCTAAACTTTTTTTTTTCTTTTTGGGTCACACCCAACGATGCTCAGGGGTCACTCCTGGCTCTGCACTCAGGAATTACTCCTGGCGATGCTTGGGGGACCATATGGGATGCCGGGGATCGAACCCGGTTCGGCCACATGCAAGGCAAATAAATGCCCTACCTGCTGTGCTATCGCTCCAGCCCCAAGGCTAAACTTATTGGATTCACTTTCTTGGTCTGTATTCTTCTTTTTTAAAAAAAGTAAAACAGATTTTATTTGGAGGGTTTTAAGGTGTGGAGGGAGAGAGGGTGAGAGAGAGTAATGCGCTCAAGAGAGAATGCAGGCTTCTCCAAGGGCGCAGAGAGCCCCTACACACATCCCATCATTAGACGCGAAAGCATGAAAGTACACATCTCAAGAGGGGAGATGCGGGCGACACGTGCTCGGCCACCACATGTGCTCGGCCATGTGGGCAGAAGCAGCACAGAGCTCAGGCAGCATACGCGCGCCGGTCTGTATTCTTAGGGTTAACCTCTGGCAAATTACCTCCCTTCTATGTGCCTATATTTCTTCTTCTAGACGTAGTACCTACCATTGCCAGGATTCAATAAGTAATGCTACTGAGTTAAAATAGCGCCTGGCCCACTGTAATCATTAACTAATGCTCTATTAATATTTGTAAAAAAAAATTTGTAAATAAGTGTTTTACCTCTTGAACTAAGAGTAAAACATGAAGTATAGCTTAGGTATAGTAAATAATCAGGTAACATTTAAAATTAAATGTAATTTAATCATTTTAGTTGTGTGTATGAAGTCACTGAAACAATGTATTCTACTCAACTGAAAAAATAAGGAGTCGAAAAACAAAAAGGATGAAAAAAATGGTTTTCTCTGATTCTCTAGAAATTCTCAATGGCTCAATATTCACTTTTCCATACTATTTTGAAGTCTTGTTTACCAAGTCTTATACTGCCTGCCACTTCTAATTGCAAAGATAACTCTGCTTCAAATAAGGCACATGTACACACGACACATTTCATTTGGATCTCTGGTAGTATCAATTTAGATCAATTAGAGATGTAAAATGAACATAAGCCCCTAACCCTGCCTACTTTTACCTTCGCTAACTTCCCAGTTCAAGCACACGTCCTAGCCCAGCTCCACTACCGTCTCCCATGCAGCTAGGTTTACAATGCATTTTAAAATAAAGGTGCAAATATTCTGAGAGGAAAAAATTGGTCTTTTATAAAATTATAAAAATATATGTAAATATACCTGTATATAGCACTGTCCTCCCATTGTTCATTGATTTGCTTGAGTGGGCCCAGTAACATCTCCATTATGAGACTTGTTACTGTGTTTGGCAAATCGAATACACCACGGGGAGCTTGCCAGGCTCTGCCGTGCGGGCGAGATACTCTCGGTAGCTTGCAGGGCTCTCTGAGAGGGGCACAGAAATTGAACTCGGATCAGCCAGGCAAATGCCCTACCTGCTGTGCTATCTCTCCAGCCCATAACCTATATATACACACACAAATGAGGTTATCTTGCCCCTCCTTTTTTTTGTGGGGTAATTTGTTTCAATCACAAAAATTTAAAAGTATAAAGCGACAGGTCATGCTACCCTTGGAGAAAATCTTTTAGTAGTGCTGTTATATTAGCATATATGATAATAGATAACATCATGCAATAAAGTGAAAACTGTGTTTCTGAAATTTGAAGCTATACTGTAGCTCTAACATTCCATCTTCCATTTCCAGACTTGCTAATTTTTTTTCAAGTTAAGCATAATAATCTTTGGGGGGAGTTAATCACCAATATATGTTCTTTATTTATTCTTTTTTGGGTCACACCCAGTGATGCTCAGGGGTTACTCCTGGCTCTGCACTCAGGAATAACTCCTGGTGATGCTGGAGGACCATATGGGATGCTGGGGATCGAACTGGGTCGGCTGCGTGCAAGGCAAACACCCCACCTGCTATACTATCGCTCCGGCCCCAAAATATGTTGTAAGAGGAGGGGTCCCAATATAATTTTTTTCAGCCTAACTTTATTAATCTCATAGCTTCCAACATGTCCTCCCTAGTATACAACTCGGTCTTTAGAAATCTCACCTCACCTGTTGCAGGACTTCTGGGAAGACCTCGAGCCCACTGTTAGGGATTCCTAGTTTGGTGGTAAGAGTTTTCCAAATACAATCAGAACACACAACTGACAGGTCTCCTACCCAACTTTGTTACATTTTATGATATGTTACAGGAATAGTTAATTAAACTGACAGAGCCTACTGATGGATGCTTCCTTATATAACCTATCCCTATAATGAAGCCCCTGATTTAAGAAAAGATGTCCTTACACTTTCAGACTGTTTCAGAGAAAAACAAAAATTTGAACTTCGTAAGATCTTTCCGATGCTCTTTCAGGTATCATTGAGACAGTCAGTCAGATTATCTCTGGATGGATTGCTGATCAAAACTGGATCAAGAAGTACCACTACCATAAGACTTACCTTATCCTCTGTGGTATCACTAACCTGCTGGCACCCTTAGCCACCACATTTCCACTCCTTATGACCTACACCATCTTCTTTGCCATTTTTTCTGGTGGCTACATGGCACTGATACTTCCTGTACTGGTAAGTAGACACACTTAAAAAACCATTTAGACAAGCAAGAACTATAAGCTGGAGAAAGTACATGGTTAAGGCGCTTGTCTTGCATCCTGCTGACCCTAGTTCAAATTCCTGGCATCTCATATGGTTTCTAGAGCAGAGGCAGGATCAGTCACTGAGAACCGCTGGGTATGGCACACTGCCAAAATAAATGTGAAAGATTTTAAAGCAAGAATAATTCCCCCCCAAAGAGAACACTTAATTTATATTAACTTTATGCAAGAGCTCCCAGTTCAATTTCTGGCACTACATGGTGCCCTGAATACCAATGAGAGCAGCCCCCAGGAAGGCGCCCAAACCAAAAACCAATTCTCAAGGCCTAGAAAGCCTGTTGCTACATTTCTGCCCAGACAGACATTTAGACCTTGGAGTGTGGTGGAGATAATAAGGTCTATTCACATAGAACAGAAAAAAAAAGGGGGGGGGGAGATTATAAAAGGGTCAGGAGAATTCTATTTTTACCTCTCAGACCCCAGGAAGGACTCAAGGTCAACTTCTTTTACATTTCTAAAATTTCTGTGTGATACTAGGGACTGAATCCCTGGACCTTCCACACGCACAGGTGCCCTACAACTAAATCAAATCCCCAGTCCCACTTCTAGTTTCAGAAATGGCTTTGGTTCCTTCGAGGGCATATCTGTTTTGGATGTGATGGGAATGGGTTTGGGTCATATTCAAGTGGTGATGGGGGCCCCATATAGTCCTGAGGATTAAACCATTGTTCTCCTGCTTGCAAATCATGTTCTCCCGTCCTTTGAACTCATTCCCTGGTCCCCAGGACACAATCTTAAAGGATACCTGAGAAAAGGGGGCTTCCTGACTAGAAAGAAACTGCTTCTTTCTCCAGAGAAACTATTATTCCTAACACACACATTGTGGAGGACTGGGGAGATTAACTCAAAGGGCTCGAGTGCATGCTTTGGCTGGGGAAGCCAGGGTGCTAGCCCAGGACCCCATGCCTCCCAGCACAGCACTGGAAGGAGCCCCTAACATCTACCAGGTGTGGCCCAAAGGAGAAAAAAAAATAAAAGGAACATTGCTTTCTTCCCCCATCTCTCCACTTTTACCCAAAGCTAACTTAAAAAAAAAATTCTTAGAACTAAGTGAAACAATATACCTATACAAATATTCCTGGAACTACTCAGAATCCTGTGGATTCTTCTCAGAACCAGATCCCCAGAGCTCCAGAATGGAATTCGAGGGGATGATAATAGTATTAGCATAAGCGCTCCAAGATACAAGATTCAAACTAAAATTCATTCCTTAAATTCACAGGTTTTAGGCCACAAGCAGAGATACTCAGGGGATACTCCTGGTGCCTGGCAGTCAATCCTGGCTATACTCGGCATAAAACCTACGACTTCTATAATAAACAAGGCCTGCACAGCAGCCCTGACTCATTGAATTCTTACAAACCAATGGGTGGTTCTCAACCATAGGTAGATTCAAGAGAAATTCCACTGCCTAATAGAAATGAGCAAAGCCCAGGGAAGGAAAACAAACAAAAAGAATGAAAGCTGAAGCTGAAAATAGTAGAGGGGGCTTCGCTGCATGCTTTGCATGTGTAAAAGCGAACTTGAATCCCCAGCCACCACCATTAGCAATTCCCAACACCAAGCTGGGAGCAGGCCCTGAAGACCACTAGCTGTGCCCTCTCCACCCCAAATAGTTCAACAACTAACCAGTATTTCTTACTAATACTGAAAACATTGTTTGATGAAATTACTATCCCTGAATTGCTTCAGCTGTTTGTAATAGTGGGGGCAAACGACCATCTAAATCTCCTTAGACGTTAACTGCTCACAGTTTGAGGTGACACAGTCATGTCTTCTGTAGGTCACAGGTCTATTAAATTTTATCTTCCATATGGCTGACACACTGAATTCTAATCCCTACAGGTTGATCTGTCTGGGATTTCTAAAGTACACAGCTTTCTGGGACTTGCAGCCTTCTTTGCTGGGATGGGTGTCCTTTCTGGACCACCTTTGGCAGGTAAGTTTAGCAACATTCTGAGCCAAGTTCAATAGCAATTGAAAACCTGTGATCCATGCTTAATGGTAAGATGAAAACATCAGGTTAAAAGAAACTGGTGATACCTCTGCTCCTCTATACCAGCAATCATACTAATTCATCACTGATGGATTAATTAATGATCCACCATCACTAATGCTGAGGACTAATGTAGTATTGTTGGGCTGGAGAGACAGTACAGCAGGCAGGGCACTTGCCTTGGATGTAGCCAACTTGAAGCCAGCACCCCACATGGTCCCCAAGCACTGCCAGAAGTGATCCCTGAGCACTGCTGGGCATGAACCAAAACCAAGCCAAAAAAAGTAATGCGCACTAAGCAGACTTCTCTTAAGGGATTTAGAAGAATAATTTATGTCTGCCTGTCTAGAAGACAATCTAGAGGGGCTGGAGAGATGGCTCAATAAGCTGAACACATGCAAAGTTTGCATGAGGGGAAGCCCAGTTCATCTGTGGCGCTGATCTGAGAGCAACCATCGAAGCAGTGTTGGGAGTAACCCCCTGCACTTTCAGGTGTGACCCAACAACCAGAATAAAAAATTTTTATCAAATTCTCTATCTAAAATGCACCAAGGAAGCAAAGGAAAAAAGAAAAGAAAGAAAGAGGAAAAGGGGAAAAAAGAAAAGGAAGGAAGAAAAAGAACCACTACCACCTATTATTTGGCCAACAGTGTCCTGGGTATCTCAGCATCCTTCATTTCCTAAGAGGGATGAAGATTCTTCATATTCTATCTGTTCTGGAGAAGGCAGAGGGAATGTGGCTTAAAGACCTACGTAGATGTTATTGGGATCACTGGTGAACATTAATTAGCAAGGAGAGTAATAACTGAAAGAGACTTTACACTGAATAATTGTTTCATTTTCTATTCTTCGCCCAATTAGGTAATTTGGGGGCATCCTGAATATTTAATCCAAGATTATGAAAAGTTTAACTGGTCATACAAACATATTTCCAGTGAACAAATTTAAAGTATAGTACTTTTATCACTGAAGTTCTGAATATATTTCGATGTACCAATCACTGCAGTGTTTCTAAACATTCACAAAAAAAGAAGCTGAGCCTAAGATTCACTGGGTTCCTTCAATGCTGAACTGAGACAAAGGGATCTGATCTTGCGCCAGTATACTTTCCTACATTCTAGTTCTGTACCGGTGTTAAGAGTTTTACCTCTATCAACTTAAGACTTAGAAACAACAAACATCAAAGCTTACAATGACAAAAATTATTACTGGCAGGGAAAACATTCATCACTATTAATGGTTCCGTTTTGGTACCCATTCTAAAAAAAATATTCAATTATAAGATCAATACCTTATGAACATATTTTCTTATGTAACCCAACTCATCCTCGAGTTCAGACTTGCAACACAGGGTAGAATTTTAAAGTCAAGCCCAGACCAGTGACCAGTCTGGGAACAGTGAATGGAATCCAAACATCAAAGATGCCTACCAGAGCAACTCTATGGTTAAAGCACAGGTTAATGTGATAGAGAAAACAAAGCTCAAATAGTTTCCTTAGGTATTTTCTCATTCTCAATTCATATTCACTGGCAGTTTCACTGGGAACTTTTCAAGTCAAGTAATTAGGCCAAAAGCATAAGGCAATAACAAGTACAAAGGAACAGAATATCTTGTTCAAATGATCAAGTAACAAAACAGCAAGTTTAAAGATTATATGTTCCATGTTTTTGCATACAACTTAAAATGTTTAGAAAGGTTCAAAAAACACCATGACAAAGCAAGTTCTGTGAGGACTTTTACTTGCAAGGAAAAAAGCTGTATGTGCAGATCTTGAAATCTATTTGTCGAATTGTACAGTTTGAAAATTATTTTAATACAAAAGAGTAAGTTACAGCAAAGTTGATTAGAAAACAGGGCATCAGTTTATTGTAAAACTTTTACTTCATACAACATAAATAGTGTAAAATACTCCTCTCTCAGTAAGGAAAAAACAATTTACAGCTTTCTATCACTCAAAGTTCTCTTATCCTAGCACTACATGTGAGGCTAGAGAGCGCTCATGACAGACCCTAGCCTTCTCAGGAAGTTTATAATTCCAACCCAACCAATAAAGAAAATGGTAAGGTTGTTGCTAGAAAAGGATGCTGCTTTATAGAAATGAGTTCAGATTATAATTCCATTTCATTTCTCTGTATCATGAGCTCTCGCTGACTACAGCATTGTGCTAAATGTCCTGATCACCTTAGGAAACACCTCTGCTCTTGTGAATCACTCCTCTGTGACATAACGAAGGACATTTCACAAAGGTCATTAGAGTCCTTCTTTACTTTGACTCCTGCAGCAACAACCAAATAAGAAACAGGTACGTCGCTCAGTTCTCAACAGGAAGGAGAAGCTACCTTATTCTTTTAGCTTCGACTAAACCAAAAGACTTACTCGTTATAAAATATTAAATTCTCAACCAAATTTACATCTTCAGCACTCTGTGATTCTCAGTTCTTACTTACCTATGTCTGGTTTTATCAAACTTCAAGAGTTAAAATTTCTAAATAAGATTACAAGCATTTTAAATTAGTAATGTAGCAAATAGTAAAACTTTTCACAATAACCCTCAGTCAGAACACTACCTTAAAACTAATAATGATTATTTAATTTTTCCTTCCTACTTTGAAATGAGAAACAGTCCCACATAATATATTTTAATGATTCAAAAAAAAAAAAATCTAAGATGAAAAAACCAAAGGATCTAAAATCACAAACCCTTTAGGAAATCAACTAAAGTTTTTTATTTAAGATGTCTTTTAAAATAATAGCGCATATGGATAAGAAAATTTTTATATCCTTTTCAAATGTGCATAATGGAAACAGCAACAACAGAATTCTTTATTAGATCTTTGCTGAAACAGTGTAACAAGGATGGAAACGGGTCAAGTTAAAAATTACCATCAGTTCCCCCATATCTTCACAACTCACTGCCTTTGTCCACCCACCTCATTCCTTTCTAAGTCCCTTCTTTTCCTTTTTAAATACTAACAAATTCAATATATTGAAAATACAAACTGCTTCAGACTCGATCAGTTTTAAAGTTGGTCTGTTTCCTGATCTTATGGTGGTCAGTAGACCACCAGTTGATCAGACTATAGACCTTGTATCATAGCTCACCCAAACCCAAATACTGTTTTCTTTTGCTGGAAGTTGGCATCTAGAACAATATACTGGATCCAAGAAAGAATCTGAAGAAAAAGGTGTTGAAATCTGAAAAGATTATATTTCTACCATATTCCCTTGAACAAAAGCAATCCCACAGAAAGCAAAATACCTTGGACAACAAGAGACAGTATGTACTATCCTACAACATAGAAGCCAGACTTAAGCTGTGTACGTGAAAGCCCTAAACAGAAGTCAAGGTATCTAATAAATGAGCTCAAAATGTTAAAGGCTGAGTTTCACTTAAAAAAAAAAAAGTAGAATGATTGGTCTATTTGCTGTCCTAAAGCCCCAACTGACTTCTCCCTGTATTGTGCTAGATACTTACTTAAATCAATCACAACTGCTGGCAAAACTTCTCTTTAATACCACAAATATTATTACTCAGCATTCATTCAATGAACAGTAAGCAACTTCTCAGCAGAGCATTGTTACCTGTTATTTGATCCGAGACCATAAGTTACTCTCGGTACGCTTCCGCAGTTTACATGTGGGCATGACAGAGTACTTACCCTGCCACATCTTCAGCTAGGGCTTTAATAATAGGGACAGCAGAGAACACTGTTTCCCAAACTGGTGATACCATCCCTGGAGGTCTCTGCAACACCACCAAGGGGCAGGGGATGGGGGAGGGCAGCAGCCTAGGGGGCAACTAGGGTTGTCCACTTTCTGTTTGTCCACTTTAAAAAAGCAAAGATTTCCGAGTAATCCCTCCCCCCCCGCACTGAAAAGGGACAGTAAGCCAAATACATCTGGGAACCTCTAGTCTAGAACCTCTAATACTGAGAATCAGAATTTCTAGTCTTCTGTCTCACTGATTGTAAACAAAGTCAAGCAACCCATGTCTCCATATTTCTTACAGTAGAGAGTTCAATAAAGCAGGTATTTCACAGAAGTGTTCCCCTCACTGTCCCTACCCCTCCAAAAAAACACAGAGAAAAGCCACTCTTAATCCTGATTAACTCTAAACTGATTGTACTCCAAAATAAATCTTGTTACTGTTTACTAAACCATTGGGGGCTCCTTCCGGCTTAGTATTTGGGGATCATATAGGCTGTAGTCAGGGACAATGTAATGGTGGGAACTAAGCCTAGGTTTCTGCAAGTAAAACATGTGTTCAGTCCATTGAATTATTCCCTAGGTCTTAACTGTTGTTTTTTTCTAAGGGAAAACACACACACACACACACACACACACACGACTGAAATGAAAACCCATTTATCTAAGATTAACTCTATTCCATTATCACTGACAAGTTCATCTTCTCACATTAGATCACTCTTTTCTATCTCTCTTTCCATCCTTATTTTAGATATATTTAATATTCCACCAGGACATTATGCTACCTTTTGGGCACATCAATTACCAATTTCTCTATAAACTGATAATTTATTTGGAAAAACAAAAGCAAAATCCATTCATAATGCCCTCCAAAAGGGCATCCAATCCATGCTGTCCTTCTGGAGGCTGGGAGTAAGTCGAGGACAAGTGAGAAGGTCAATCAAAGTTTTCTGTCCTCTAAATCCTAAAAAATATATTATCATTTAAGAGGCAAAAAAATATATTATCATTTAAGAGAAAAAATAAAGGCAGATCATTTATTTATTCAGTAATCATTTTTCATACTCCGAAGATTGATGAATACCTGCAAAAACACTTTTTTGCAGAAATTTCAATTTAAAAACAATGAGGGGCCAGAGAGATACTACAGTAAGAGGTTTATATTGCATGCAGCCAAACCAGGTTCAATCCCTGGCACTACATTTGGTCCCCAATCCCATGAGGACTGTTCCCT